GGTAAAAGAGGTATTATTCACTAATGCTCCTGGTAATGACCAAATGACTTCACCAAAGATCCAGAAGGACTTAGTTAATTGTTGTGTCGTAGAGACAACAAGGGCTATTACCAATGAGATGATTGATAGATTGTTTTCAATTTTGGTTGATGAGACTCGTGATAATTCTATAAAAGAACAAATTGCAGTTTTTTTGAGGTTTGTTGACCAAAGTGGGCACGTAAAGGAGCGTTTTTTGGCATTACCCATGTCACTGATACTTGTGCGCAATCATTGAAGGATGTCATTGATGCAATGTTTTCTACGCATGATTTGAGCATATCTCACTTGAGAGGTCAATGTTATGATGGAGCAAGTCATATGTCAGGTGAGTTCAATGACTTGAAAGCTTTAATTCTAAGAGAGAACTCATATGCTATATATGTCCATTGCTTTGCTCACCAACTTCAATTGGCAGTTGTTTCAGTGGCACGTATGAAATTCCGATCGACGTCGCCGGCTGCTATCAATCAATCTCTCGACGACCTCTCGAACGTATTTATCTTCGTCATATTATCAAGTCCACAAACCTGTCATTTACATGGAAGTGAATTCTGTAGTTGGACTCTGCATTACTTATATGTTCCTGTTATCTAGAAAACGGTAGTTGGGCTGTGTATGAACCATCATTTTTAGACTGATAATTATCTTGTAAGCAATGTTGTACGCTACTAAATGTTGATAGCTGAAGTTTTAAATATATTCTAATTCTGAGAACTGATGCAAATTTAAAGTTTCAATCATAACGTAAAATATCTATTCTCACAGTTACTGGAATCCGAAAAAAATTGAATAATGCTTTCTTAGCCTCCATTTGGATAAATGATTTACAAATTCAAATTAAACATTAATTTCAACCACAATTAATAATTAATTTCGTTCCACACTCACTCCAATTCAAAAAAACTGGTTCCCATTCTTAGCATTCCAGAGTTGGTGAAGACCGTTTTTGGCAGCCACCGGATTTGGGCATAACCATCTGCCGAGGAGTGAGAGTTATGGATTTGCTCTTTTTACCTTTACTTTTTTCAAATCATTTGCAATGCTCAAAGTGCCATCTCCGGGTACTCGATTTGCCGAGAGTTGGAAATGAAAAGCAGTAAGGGAAAGTTTTTCTATTTACTGTGTCTGCCTAGTTTGACTTTAGATTAGGTGGCTTTCCTTTTCTTTTTAATTCAATCGTTTATTCCCAAAAAGTGTTTTCCC